TGGATGCTAGACTAGTGTGATCTCCGCCTGCCCTTCCTCTCACAGCTGGTGGAGGGGGGGTCGCCCCATGGCCTTCTTGCCACTCCAAACATGCTTGGCCCTAGGCCCCAGAGATCAGGTCCACTAAGTCTTTGTGGTGACTAAGGCATCCAGGCCAGGAGGGTGATGCTGATTCTGGCCTGGCTTCCTCTTTGTGATGTTAGATGGTGGCTCTTCCCACGGCTGCTGGTGGGCCCCTATTCTATGTGAACCAAGGAGCCAGGTGCTTCCCAGCTGACCTGAGTAGGGACCAGAGGCATGGTCAGTGAGGACTGGGTCTGCTCCACAGTGTGGCTGGATTAGGTCTGGGCTGGCGTGGCGTCTGTGTTCTGATGAGAAAGCACCAAGAGTCCAAGGAGGGATTCTGTGTGGGGATTGGGGGGTTGTAGGGGAGGGAGGACAGGATGGCAATCTGATTATCAGATGACAAGGTGACCTCGTAGAGCCATAATTATGATACATAGTTGAACCCTTATTTAAGCACAGAAAGAGTCCAGCTCCTGAGCACAGCCTAACACGTGCTGAGCCCAGATCCTGATTTCTGACCTTGTCACACACTGAGCCCTTTGGCCTGGGTCCCATGCTGCGTTCTGACCTCCATTGCTCATTTAAGCCCTGACCTTGGTCACATGCTAAGCCCTGGTCCTGGTCACACACTGAGCCCTGATTTGGTCACAGCATGGGCCCTGGCCCTGGTCACAGCCTGACTCCTACTTCATGTTGAAGCTGAAATGGCTTGTTCAGGTTCACATGCCTTACACGTGCCATGTGTTTGTAGGACCACCTCCTCTTCCAGCCACACGCAGCAGTTGATAGTGTGACACATCTCTCTTGGAAAGAAGGAGCCAGAGTCTTTGCCCACTGGCAGCTCCTTTTACCTACTTCACCCCCAGTAATTCACACACAGCTGCACATTTGGCTCGGCACCCACCTCCAGGCATCTGCCATGCTCTGTAAACATGGGGCCTAGAGTCCCTGGAGCCCCCAGCCCTCCAGTCAGAGTTACATAACCAAATTCCACTTCTCAGGCCCAAATACCCTTGATCACAGGTCCCTACCCCTGGCTGAATAGCACAGCTCAAGGTCTCTGGTCCCCCATACCCTAGCCTGGCAGTGGCAGCAAGTTCTGGGGGCGGGGTCTCAGAGTGGGATAAGGGGAGCAAAGGGGGCCTTGCAGAGTTCCCAGGGGGCCCAAGTCAGAAGAGCACAGCAGCCCTTCAGCCACTTGTGTCTGAGTGGAAGGACAATGGCACCCACGTGGAAGCACACCTGTGCCCAGTGTTGGTGCTGGCGAGCAGTATGTATAACAGAGGCTCACTGGAGGGTGAGTGAGTGGCCCCCACTGGGCACAGTTGTCCATGGGCAGGCACGGGAGTCAGGTGAGGGTGGGGAGGCAAAAGCAAGGAGTGACCAGCTGATGGACTATAACTGAGCGGGGAGGCAACTTCGGGGAACAGGGACAGATGGGGTGGTAGCGAGGGGTGAGAGAGGAAAGGGCCAGCCACCTGTGGGAGGATGGGGAGCCAGTCTTCATGGCCACCCTGACAGATCATTCAAATCACCACAGGCAGGCAGCTTTGAGCTTCAAATGCCTGCCCTCTGCTCTCACAGTTTCAGAGGCCACAGCTGTGACTTGTAGAAGCCCTAACAGCACTGCGCTCCCTATAAGCTGGTGGGGGGAGTCCTCACCTCTCCCAGCTTCTGGTGCAGTGGGTATGCCCTCTCTCCATAGCCCTCCCCTTTCTGTGACTGACCTCTCTTCCTCTTGTAAAAGACCCTGGCCACTGGATCTGTGGCCCACTCTAACTGGGATATGATTTTATCTTGAGATCCCTGACTCGATTACACTGCAGAGGCCTTCTTTCCATAAAGATCCCACTCACAGGTTCTATGGGTACATGTACTTTAGGGGACAATAATCAGACTGCTATAGTTGGAGAGGTGGTAGGTGCTGGGCAGACAGACAGGCTGGTGGTGGAGGAGGTGGCAGGTCAGCTACATACTGGCCACAGCTCTGCAGTTCTGAACAGACAGCTCCTTTCTCACAGGAGACCTGCAAATATTTTGCAGTTTTAAAAAATTCCTTTAAAGCTGGGTGTGGTGGTGCACACCTGTAATCCCAGCACTCAGGAGGCTGAGGCAGGAGGATTGCTGTGAGTTCGAGACCAGCCTGGGCTACATAGTGAGTTCCAGGTCAGTCTCGACTATATAGTGAGATCCTGTCTCAAAAAACCAAAAAAAAATTTTTTTTTCCTTTAAAAAAGTCCAGAGTTACACAGAATATAAAAATCAGAACTAGCAAGATCCCCAGTAACTATCTTTTTTACTCTCAGAAAGTGGCTCCACTGAGCTCCAGTGTGGGGACATTGGCAGGCCAGGGCACTTCCAGTGACAGCATGAGGGCTCTAGAAAGAGCAGGGTCCCCTAGCTCCTGGGTCCACTGACTGTAAAGGTTCTGAGAAATCTTGCAGCTGATTTCTCTTCAACTACGTCAAGCGGTTTGCCAGCTTGTGGGGTCCCAGGACCTTCACAGTGCCTGACATGAGCTTCCCTGGACCAGGCCAGCAGAGCAGATTTCTTCTACTCTCTGGGCTCCTTCCCTGGGGCATCTGAGCCAGGTACCCCTTGGCCTGCCCTGTTTCACTCTCACAAACTTTCTCTGCCTGTTTGTCCTTTGTTCACCAGTAGTAAAGGTGGGAAAATTGAGACCTCTGTGCCCACTGACAAGCCCAAGACCACCTGAAGGTTGATTTAGTTGAGTTGGTTTTCCCAGCTGTCCTGGGTCCACGCCTGAGTGAGCATCCTGTTCCCTTTAAGAGCCTGACCCCTCCCATCCTCTCTGGTTTCCTTGGAGAGGGCAGGGAGGGAGGCAAGCGGAAGCTGGACTTGGCAGGGTCCCCAGGTAGCTGTCAGCGGGTTCCCAGCCATG